GTAACATTCTCCCCTGTTTGAGGTAAATGAGCTCTTGCAGGCACACCATTTGGATACCTAGAAGTGGCAATTTATCTCCAGTGGGCAACCACTATAAAGAAGACAAGAAGGCTGCCACCTGCCCAGTATTTATGAAGGCAACATGGAAACTGGGTCTCTGCCCACTGCCTACCAACGGATCATCAAAGTTAAGAACTTTAGCGCTTTCTGAGCAGTGAATGCAAGTTGCCATTATGGAGCTTCCACTTCCATGAAAAAGAAGTGATGTTAAGTTTCAATGAGATCTCATGCACAAAAAAGAGATAAAATAACGAACATTTACAGGGTATTTACATACATGAAGGACTTGACTTAGCAAGTTACTTTTATTACTAAAAATCCTATTAGCTACACAATTTTATTAGCTAAATTTTACAGGATATTGGGGACACTGAGGCTGAAAGAGATTAAGTAATTTGCCAGTGTCACAAGAATAGCAAGCAATAGAGTCCAGATGCAAATCTAAAGCCATACACTTAATCAACACTGCACATTCAACATGTTTAGGAGTACATTTTCTCTCCTATATGCTAGCATGTGCATAATTCAGAATTTACCCTAAATAGATACACACCTACTTTTTAAAAGGTCACTTACTGAATTTTTTAAGTCTCAGGGAAAAGATAGTAGAAGAGGCAATGCAACTATTATTTAATATATTCAAAGCTACTATTTGGTATTTAAAAACATGCACCACAGTTTTCCTGAGGCTAAAAGCACTTGAGTCACAATGATGCTACCAATACACAGTCCTGACATTTAGGTTGTTTAAATTTTCACCCAGATAAGGACGGGAGGAAAGAGGAAAAATGAGAAAGAGTGAAAGGGGAAGGGAGGGAGAGGACAGCATAAGAGTTAACCACTGTGGAGTGATCTAATGATAAAAGACAGTTTGTTCTGGTAGGTTATCTTTTGTGAATTCTTTCATAACTGGGAAAGGATGGTAGTTATAGTGTTAATAGGAAATATTTACTTTTTTTAAAAATGTATCCTCTCTACTGCAGACATTGTTAATCAGCTGATCCAATCCATCACACTTTCCCTTTTCTCTTGCTAGTTCTAGCTAGCTAGGGATGGCCATGTGACCTCTTCAGGTCAAGGAAATAATAACAAAAGCCTGCTAGGTGGGCTTTGGGGAATGTTTTGCCTTCGTGGTATAAAGGGATATATCCAGCAGCCACGTGCCTTTACATTTTAAAAAGCTTTCTAGAGACATAATTAACACCACACATCTGAAGTATACAAATCAATGCTTCTTAGTATATTGACAGAACTGTGCAGTCATCGTATCAGTTTTATAACATTTTATCACCCCAAAATACCTCCATCCCTGTAAGCAGTCACTTCCCATATCCCTCGGCCCCCCCATCCTTATGGCTATTAGTTGTCACCACTAATTTACTCTGTCATTAGATCCCTTAATCTGGGTATTTCAAATGAATGGAATCATACAACACATGTGACCTCACTGTGACTAGCTTCTTCACTTGTCCTCATGTTTTCAAGGTTCACCCAGGCCCTGCACATAACAATACTTCATTCCTTTTTATGGGCTAGTAAAATTTCATCCGTTGAATAGCTATCCATTCATCAACTGGGAGGATCTTTTGGGTTGTCTTTTTTTTTTTACTATTATTCATATTAATGCTATGAACATTTGGCCTGAAGTTTTTGTATGGGTACAGATCTTCATTTCTCTGAGATACACACTTAGGAATGTAATCAAGTAAAAATCAGTCATCAGAAGTCTAAGGCAGGAAGACAGCAAGTTTAAGATCACCTTGGAGTATACAGCAAGTTCAAGGGCAGCCTAGACTCCATAGTGAGACCCTGTCTCCAAAAAACAAAACGGAACAGGAGGCGGGCTAGATTTTTAACACTAAACTATTGTGCAGCTTCCTCATGATGATGGCAACAACTACTTCCCCGGTGCTGGCACAGAGACAATTTCAACATGGCCAGACTTTCTACATGGTGACATAGTTCACAGGGTAACTCTATGTTTAACACTTCAAGGAACTACCAGGCTCTATTCCAAAGCAGCTGTATCGCTGCCATTCCCACCAACAATGTGTAAGTGGATTCACATTTTACCTTTCCCTTTCCTCCCTGCCCAAAAATCCTGATGAAGGCATCAGTACTACCTTATAACTAAGAGGCACAAATTCAAGGTGCTAAGGATGGCAAAGCAGAAAGACAGAATGAATTTCTACATACCTCTAGGATTCCTATTATTTAAGAGTGGAACCTTATTTGATTAAGCTACTTAAAGTGAGAACTTCTATTAATTATAAAGAAGGTAAAGCTGTGACATCACCTACCATACAATATCACTGTATTCAGACAAGAAATTTCTCCTTGATCTTCAGTAAGTTATAGCAAAACCATCTTTAAATAATTCAGAGCTTTAAATAATTACATCTTTAAATAATTACATAATATATAAATTGCCTTGAGAAAGGCAATTTGGTTAAGACAAACCAATGTATTTCACTTGATCTATATTTTTATGAAATGTCTATTATTTTAATACGTTGAATAACAATAGCTAATATTTTAACTAAGCAAAGGAAGAAAACTACTAAACAGAGACTATGCTAAGCACTTTACAAACTAACTTAGTCTTCTAAACTCCTACTTTACAGATAAGAAAACCAAGGCACAACAAATTCAACTTGTCCAAAGTCATGTAACTACTGTCAGAACCAATATTCAAAGTCAGGCAAATGTTAGCAATTTCAGCATAGAAAAAATGATTATTAGTATACCCTAAAGTGTATAAAAATGTGTGTACATTCATTAATGCCACATATTATTTTCATGGTGAGCATCGTGGTAAGGGAATAGCCATTTTTAGTCCTCGCTGCATGCCAGATAATGTATAAGATGTTCAGCAAGTGTTATTTCATTAAATTCTAAAAACAGCCATTGGAAGGAGATACTATCTTCACTTATAAATTTCAGACTTATGAATCTGAAACCTAATAAAGTTAAATAACTTGACAGTTTCACAAAACTGGTAACTAACACTTTTTTGACTATTAATACTGCTTACCTATTTAGATTAGTGGTAAACCTAAATTATAAATGCGTAACTATGTAACCTGCTATGGCTTTCCTCGCATTTATTATCATTATCTGCTGATTACCATTCATTTACCTCTAAGTGTCTGAAAATATGTTCCCATCATTCCTGCTAAACCATCTGAAAGTTCTACTACTAGAATACACTGGTAATGAAAATACATTACCTGGAAGGCATAATACATAAATCTTTTACCATGCTTGGAAAATTATTCTGTAAGCCTAAATGGGCAAATTATCTCTGCAGGAGGTGCACACTGATCATTTTTGTATCAATCCAATAATTTTCAATTAGTTCACTGTCCAGACCATAACCTTTCTGATATGTCTCAGGCCTGACACAACAAACATTTGTTCCCTCTGATCACTTATTGTCCCCTAATTTGTGTTTCTTAGCCAAAAAACATTTACTGACTTCCTTTAAAGTAAGTTTCCCTGAACTTGTTATTTCCTCAAGCTGTTTGGGGCAGAGCTTGGTCTGCTATAAAAGGTAGCTCTGTTCCTGAAGGTAGGCAGGGACTCAAAGCCATACCCCTGGTATATCTTCTACTTGATAGGTCTTACCTGTACATATTGTTCTTAAAAACCACTCTATCAAGATTTAAACTTTAAAGATCTTCCAAGGGGCCATCTGTTGGGATGTAGGTATGGGGGGTGTGAAGATTACTGCTTTATTTTATAAAACCTCTATAATGTGATTCAAATCATAGTTTTCCTACAATGTAGATATAATTTTAAAATACGCTTTATTAATCATTATCTGAAGCCAGGCCTGCTAGGCATGTGTTTCCATTCTGACCTCTAATGTCTCCTCTTCCAGTCCGGTGCTTATTCCCACCTCTGTATCTGTGCTAAACCAACTTCCTTCATCTGAATGCTCTCTCTCCTCTTTAACTTGCTGTCACTCTAGGCCCAGCTAAATCAGTAGTTCCAGGCTGCAATCTTCTCTATACTCGTAACACACATTGAGGCGCACCTTCCAGAAGCTCACATGCACTTTCACATCCCAGCCTTGACTGCATTATGCCTGAAGTTGCACATCAGTTGTCGTTCCTGCTGTATAATCACTGCGTATACTTTCTAGAGGGCCAAGTGAATTCAAGTGTTTTTCTTTTATCTCCTAATTTAAGAAGATATATACATATATCACAGTGATAAAGAATTACATTAAATAAATTAATATTAAAATTACAGCTTAAGCAATCTACTTTTACGTTCCCCTCACATAAAGATTATGAATAACACAAATTATCAGCTTATTAAACTAAATTCAAAAACTATTAGGCTCTTTCAAGAATGCTACAGTTCTGCTTTGAACCTGTAATACTAAAATTCTTAAAAGAATTAAGTTTTTACTTCAGACTCAAACCCAGTATGTTATGGTCATGCCAATATAGTAAAAAAGTATGACTCACCCACATCAATGGCCACACCTCAAAATAACCTGAGTCAAAAGTTTTCTACTAGAAAACTCTTGGCTTAGATACTTGAAATCACAATGAATGATTCAGAATTACAGAGAATTATGTAACAAATTTAATTACATCTGACATCATTTCATTGATGGTTACATTTCATTAAGCAAAAAAGTCTGAACATAAACATTGTATTATTTTTACTATTAATATTTCTGAAATGACCATAATTAGTCCAATAGCATAGTTTAATTAGTTAATTATATATCATTTCTTCCAGTGCCAAGAAAACTAATTTCACTGAATCTTTTACACAAATATATCATACAATTTGAATCACTAAAAAAAGGTAAAAACACATACATTTTCTTCCCAGATGGTTTATTAGCATTTATGCCATAAACAATTTCTGGACATTTGCTTTTAAGAATATTTGCAAGGACACAGAAGGCGAAATCATACCTGTTTTACTAATGACCTCTTGTAACTCAGCCATAGAAGTGATTATCGCAGCAAGAAGATCAGAACTTGTGAGCCAACTGAGTGCTTGTAAGCAACGTGACTGCTCCTTCTGATGTTCTGCAAAAATGGAAACACCATCTGAAATGCTACAGAAGCTCTTACAATCCATATATAAAGTTCATTACAGTGTTCAGCTACTTAAGCAACAAATCAAACTGTGTGCAGAACACTGGCATGGAAAAAAATATATAAGAAATGTTAGATTTGATTGACTCAGTCATAAGTAACTATTCAGGGTTGGAAAAAGAGAAGTTTCCCTTCATTTTATTCATATTGCTTGACAGTCTTTTTTAAAAAGTTAACAACTGAATCTATTGTTTCTTCAGAAGTCAAGCATGTAAAAAAAATGTTAGCTAGAAAATTTACATTTGTAGTATTTTCATACAAGTCTGCAACAGATTTTTTTAACTCTCACCATTTTATACTGATTCATAAAAAGTTAAATTATACTGATACTTTTAAATAGGGCTGTTTTGGATTATTTTAATTTAAAGCTCTTTGCTTTATTACAAAAAAGATTCAATATAATCAAGCTAAACAATGTCAAACTTATACACATTTTATCTTTATATTTTAATCGACTGACAAAAATACCAAGAGCCTGATTTATCTAAAAATATATACTTATCCATATAAACACTATGTGTCTACACAGGTACAGAACTAAGTTATAGGATTTGCCGTGACATTATATTTTAAATGCTTCATACACCTAATTATATTTTTAAAAGCTCAAATTATCTTACTTGGAAATTTATGCTTGTCTTTGGGCTCTCCTGTACACACTAACATGCCTATGCCTTCTTTGAAACTTTCCATCCAAGTAAAAAGAGAGGCACATGACTGGCCCAAAATCTTGAGTCTGTTGGCTGCCAAAATTACAATAACACCTTTCCGGAACACACGTATGAATCCTTTGAATGTTTTTTTCTTCATCTTGGCTTCCTCTTGCTTCTTTTCCTCTACTGCCGACAATGCTTGGGCTAAGGTTCTAATTTCCAATTTGAACAATTCAAAGGTGTTGACCTGCTCCTGGAGAAAGTCTCTCTGTGTAGATAAGGCACACGATCTGCTATACAGGGGATATAACGCACCAGCCATCAATGCACAGGCTGCCAGCAAGGATGTCTGTTCCCTTTGAGTCTTTGACAACACATTTTTGAAATGTGAATTTTCAAGAATCAACTGTTCGTGTGACTTTTCAATACAGTTCAGTTTGTCCATATTTTTTTCTGCAATTTCTTGAAATTTCTAAAAAGATGTCAAATAATTTATTTGATTATGAAATGAGCATTTTATTAATTTATCTTTTATACAAAAAATAAACTTTTGCCAACATTACTACTTCTTCCTTAAAAGATCCATTTCTAAAATATCCAAAAGCTATATAAGATACACAGAAAAAGATACAAACAGCAACAGTAAGCCATATAGGTATAAATTCCCTATGATGAATGTTATCATTATGTATATCTAAAATGTACCAATAAAATAAAAATTTTAAAAGAAACAGCTTAGGCCTGAATGTGTACACTGATTTTTAAATCCACTTACACAGAAGCTTTCAATGAACTACACACATAAAAAAGTACTTTCTGAATTACTTGTGCATAATTATACATTAAAAAAAAAAAGAAAATGTGCTTTCTCTGTGTAATTTCTTTTGCAATTCCTTTTATTTCCTGCCTTTAAACAGAAATCATACTGCCAGAAGAGGCTTTCATATTCATAAAAAGGCACTACCTTTTGCCAAAATGAACAAAGGGTTAAATCTGTGACAGGAGAAACAGCACTTGATTGTCATTTACTGATGAGAAGGAGCTGGCTACCTCATAGCACAGCCTCCTGTTTCAGTTTCTTTCTCACCTTCCCAAGACAGAAGGCTGTACACGGAGAGGCTCTGGTAGTGGGAGGAAATACTAACTGTGAGCTGAGCCTCAGCAGCTATCTAATCCTTTTTGCCTAATGAAGTTCTTACATTTCAAAATTTAACTTGAAACAAAAAGAAAATTTAACTTGAGAACTCTATTTTAATCACTAGAAAATGAACACTCTCTCTGTCTCTCTCTCTCTGAAATCTTATGTGTAAGCTTTAAGGTACTGCTGAGATGGGGAGAACGAAAATGGTGGAGTAGTAATAGATAGCAAAATTCAGCCTGAGATCTGGAATCCAGACACTGGAAAATAACAACTTGGAAAAGAAAAAGAGAAGGGTAGATTGCCAGGAATCAGGAAGAAACTGACAGGAAAAAATTAGAAGCTACAGGGAAGTTGGAAAGACAATCCACAATTCAGAGAAAAGAACGAAACAATCTGCACGCCCTCTCCAGCTCGCAGCAAGAGGAAGTTGGCTCCCCAGAAGTGTGCTAAGTGCCCAGGGCTGGGAGATCCAGGGAAAAACAGAGACAGAGCCCCCCAGCCAGTGTGACCTGCAAAAGCAGTATGGGGTTTGCTCTAGGGTGACTTCTTCCATATGACAGAGCCCAGCCATACTGCCAAAGAGTGTTTAATCAGGTGCCACTTCAGGAAAGGGTTGGTTATTCAGATCTAGGACTCAGAATAACTAAAACACAGATTCACTTCAGGGCTCCCCTTACTACCCTCCCAGCGTGACTGGGAGAGAGACAGCCATGTCTCTGGGAGACATGACACAGACAGGGAGTGGGTGAGAAAGAGGTCCCCTGAGAAGGTTAAGCTCAGAGAAGGACATGGGTTTAGAACCCCATAATGAGAAATCAGGGCCAGGTTGAAGTGTGCTCAGGAAAAGCTGGTTCTGACGGTGCAGGCCTGCATTTGGTAGCTGCCTTACCCTGCTGCCTATATTCAGCACAGATCTGACGTCTGATTACCTTTGCTCTCTAGCAACATGAGCAAAGACACATCTCGGCATGGACATTGCCACCACCTGGGTAAACAGAGGGCCTCTGGAATAGGAGGTGCACCTGACAAACCCATAGGCCATTAGGCTAGGCAGATAAAACCATGACTTGCTGTGCTACAGATAAAACCATGACTCCAAAATTACAGATTCTGGAAGGAAAGCACTTATTCAAAAGTAGAGAAAAAAATTCTGGTTTTGGACTTGTTTTCCTTTTATTTTTCTTTGATTTTCTTACTCCTTTTTTCTTTTTTCCCCTTTTCCTTTTAATTTTTTCTAGTTCTTATTCTCTGTATTATTTTCTTCTTCCTTTTTCTTTTATTTTCTATTGTTTTCTGTTACCTTTATCTAATTCTATTAATATCCTACTCCTTAATAGGATCCTTTGTGACACTTTTCTCTCAGCTCTCACTGTTTACTTTTTCAAATTTTTCTTCTTGCATTCTCCTATTTCCAAACTCTGATATTTTAATTATATAACCATTAAGCTACCAAAGATGAAACAGGAAGACATAAAAACACAGAATAATCCAGTATCAGGCAATAAGATTTTAAAAAAAAAACAAAAAACTACAAGTAAGAAAAGCTCAGGTCCCAAAGATTCACTGCTGAATTCTACAAGACAATTTAACACCAGTACTCCTCAAACTTGTTAATGAAATCAAAAGACAAAAGACAAGGAGTACTTCCCAGGTCATTCCTGGAAGCTAGCATTACCCTGATTCCACAACCGTAACAGGACCCAACCAAAAAAGGGAACTACAGGCTGATCTCTTTAATAAACATGGCACAAGAATCCATAAATTGGAAACACGATGCAACAAATCATCAAAAAGATCATACATTGTGAACAAGTATTCATCCCAGAAATTCAGGGATGGTTCAACATAGGCAAATCAATAAATGTAATACATTACATAAACAGTAACAAGGACAAAAATCACATGATCATCTCAATACATGCAGAAAAAACATTTGACAAACTTCAACATACATTCATAATTTTTTTTAAAAAACCTGAAGAAAATATGTATAGAAGTACATTGTCTCAAGCTAATAAAAGCCATTTATGACAAACCAACAACCAACATTGCCATATGAAAAGATAAACGAGTCATCTGTAGGAAAATGTATGCACCATGAGACCACCATGTTAAATGAAAAAACTGAGACATAAGCATAAATATCTCTTGGTCTCTCTTATATGAGAAACCCAAAATACAAATAAAGAGCAAAACAAAAAATAAAGAGTCAGGCAGATAACTATTTTTTGCATATGAAAAAGGGACCAAGAGGTGGGGAAGTTTAAAAAAAAGATGTATTATGCACATGTACCAACTTCCCACAAGGAGTGTGATCATTATGCACTACAAATATGTACTAGTAAAAAAATAACAGAGTAAATTTTGGCTTAAAAATAGGTACTGCTGAGGGAAAGAGAAAATTTTAAATAACAGACCCCAACTTCATTCATTTATCACTTAATAAACTTCACTGATCAGTCACTAAATTCTATGTGTTAGAAAAACAGACAAGTAAATCAATTTTTGTGGTACAATATCATAATAGGGCTATACCAGATTGTCACAGGAGTGCCAAAGGGAACTTACCAAAATGATGCTGACAGGCGTCCGGAGGGATATGACAAAGATTAAGTGGAAACGTGGTATGTAATAGAAATAACAGCAACAAAAGAGTCAGACAGTAACTACCCTTTAATAATTAAAACTAATCATTACAAACAGACCCTGTTAGAACTTTATTTGACAAGTTAGCTGTCATGACTTAGCCATGGACCTCTTCATTTTGAAAAGCAGACTGAGGGAGTTCAGTTTTAATCAAGCGGTCACTTGAAGAGAGAAATATGTTCTGCATAATGAAGTGTTGTCCTCATTATGAGATAATCCTTTAGGTACATTAAGGAAACTACTTCTCGTTCATATTATTGGTTTAGACCAGTGGTGGTGAACCTACCTCACACGGAGCGGGCACACGGATGAGCACTGGGTAACAGCTGTGTTTGCTAAACTAAAACTTCGCTGTGCGGTTTCATTGCCATTCTGGTACTTATGATAAATAAACGGATTTGGGGTTGCAGTTAGAATGCTTGGTCTTCTAAAAGGTTCACCATCACTGGTTTAGAGCATACTATGTATAAAATGTAACCATGGATCTCTGGGAGAGTTGTATGCTGAGTATATCCAATTCAAGAGTTACCCAGTGAGCATCTAGAAGAAACAAAAGGCATTTCTAAAATTTACACTGGCAGGAACACCTCTAGGGAGATCAGCTTGGAGCAAATCATACAAACCCTTAAGCACTCCCCAAGATGTGGATGTCAAAGGCTATCATGGACCATGGTAACAGGCAGCAACTAAAAGACTTCAAAATTGTAGAAATATACTCTTGAGAAAAATAAATCCTAGGAGACAACGTTTCCCAAAAGTGGGGAGTAGGAGGAGGCATTCAGAGGCTCAACACAAAAGACAGAAGGCTAAGGGAAGTGTATAGGCAAGCACTCCGAAAGATTCAGCTTCTTGGATATTTCCCTAAGGCAGGAAGAAACTGTATTTTACATACGGTTTTTCACTGCAAATAAGGACACACACTCCAGGGAAAGCTACATCCTTCATCCACACCCAGTGTCCTGCTTCCTCCGACTACGCCCCACCTCCTGAAGTTCCCAACACCTTCCGGTAAAGCCATCAAATTAGGAGTCCTTCATTGGATTCATCCACTGCTGAGCACAGAGCCCTCACCTCTCCAAAGGCTCCACCTCTGAAGACTGTTGCATGGTGCCCTCACCATATCAGCTTTTGCGAGCTATTTCAGGTCCAAACCATAACACCCCAATCACAGCTCCACTGACGCCAATCTGTGACAGCAGTAGGCTAGCAATGAAATTTTACCCCATACTTCTACCCAAATACCACTGTTAAAGCAAGTACTGTAGGAAAGAGCAGATTTTTAAACAGAGCAGGAAAGTAGTTGGTAGGTGACTTCTTGAAAGCAGACGTACAACAATACTCCTATTTGACATAACTTATAAGAAAAGTAAAAAGTGACACTCAGGTTGCAGCTAGATGAAGCAGGGTGACAAAAATTTGGAAAACAGCTAGAAGCAGCGTATGTTTTAAGGAAGTACAAATAATTCAATACATCTGAAGAAAATAAATGATGAAATTTGAGAAGGTGGTTGAGAACATGATTGAGAGCTTTAAATGCTAAGTTAAGAAACTACTTTATTTGGAAAGCTGTAAGATGACACAGAACCCTGGGACATTACCATATTGAGAAAATGGACGTAAGAGTCAGAAATATTATTAAAGACTGCCAGGAGTAGCAGAAGAGCTGCAGGGGGATTGGTAAGAAT